CAGGGGGTGAGGGCGGCGCAGGTGCCCCGGAGGAGACAGCAAGCCACGGAGGTAAGCCCGACGTGAATGCGTCTGTGCGTTTTCATTGCCTTCAGATGCTCCATAAATTTCCGGGGCTAAAAGCATGCAGGGAAAAATTGCAATGCATTCAAATGCGACAAAACATTAACGAATGAGAATGAGAATAGCTGCACATGAAAGCAGTTTAGGAATTTCTTGTCTGCATTAGTTTCCTAAGTCCGTAACAAGAAGGGACAGTCAAGTGTGTCTTTAAAACCACAAGCAGCTTGATAATAATCATGTAGTTACAGATCTCTCCACCTCCTGAGCTTCCCACTGGTCACTTTCATGTGTGGCTCATAATGAAACATTTCAGGGTCGTTCCTCTGATCGCCCTGCCTTACGGTGACCTGGGGCTTTTAGACCGTTGTGGACATGTCTTAATTTAACATCGCTGTTTCAGTAAATGGATTAAATAAAAACAGAGTCATTTGCATAAAGTAATCTTTGTAATTGACTTGTTGGGCTCCATATTCCAGTCAAACCTGTGTTTATGCCTTTTTAAATTATTTTTTGAGCTGCATTGCAACATTAACGGTAGGCTCCCATGTAACATCACAGGCCTAAATGGACGAACACGTTACCAGCATGACAACACACACCTGCTTTGTCAGACGGGTGGATCCAAATTTAGAAATCCAGGTGAAATAAAGTGGCTGAGCGGATGTTGTGGCTTCCTGATATCAATTATAAGTTGAGAAAATAAGTATCAAACAAAAAACACAACTGGGAACAAGAGGTTAAAACGTGCACAACGTCCTGTGAGTTTAGTTTCATTCCTGCCTGACTCGGATTTTCTTTTCTTCTTGTCATTGATACAGCAAATGTTTCTGTGCAGAAAATAAAATGTTGGTTTTGGGATAAAAATTCAACTTAACAAGTTTATATATCAATTTATTGTAGTGGGTCAAATTAAGGTTCGGACTTTGTCAGTAATGTAGGACTGCATCACTGTGTGTAAATGAATAAGAAATTATTTGAAGCATTTACTTTATTCACAGTATTTATAGAATGTGCTGTAAAAATGTTCAGATTTTTCCTAGAAAAGCAAATTTTAAACCATTTTTAGGAGTCACTGTTGCATAGATATTTGTAGGTATATTTTTAAATAGTAGATTATCATCTCCGTTTGTGTGTGTGTAGGTTTGTGGCCTGTGTGCTGGAGCTCTGTGGTGTGTAAATATCTGAGCATGTCTGCTGTAAAATATCAGCAGCGGCATTTTAAAGATGAAACCAGATGGATCTTTTACTGTTTGCCTGTGTCTGTGTGTTGAAGATTGTGTCATTCTCTGTAATTTCTCCTATTTATTTATTTTTGAAATGCTAAGCATCGACATATTTACAATTTAACATGTTGTTAAACTTCAGTCGATGGGCCTGAATCTCATGTTAAACTGCTAAGCATAGTGATCCAGCCTTAAGCCACTTTAAGTTATTTTTATGACTGTATTAAAAACAGTTGTATGGCCTATTTTTAGATGGATTATCACCGAAATGTCATCTAATATTATCCAAACAGAGACTTGAACCTTAGCCGAGACAAATCATCTTCAGTCGCTGTTTGTTTTCTCAATTTTCTAGGATAAAAAAGGAATCTCTGGGAAGCAAATTCCAGCAGAGAGGAGGACGTTATATCAGCGACACATCCGACCGTCTACCATGCTCGCCAAAAGCATTCTTGAAGGTAACAGGGGAAAACGCATCTGGCATTAACAGACATCCTTTACAGTATTTCTGAGCAGTAGAACTTAGTGGTGTTTTCTGTTCCTTTTTGTTCTTCCACTGTCTTGGTTTAACGCTGATTAAACTTCAGTGTCTCCTGTTGCTTTTCTCAGGTTTCTCTTTTTTCCTTTAACAGCAGTAAAACTGTGATAAGGGCTTGCTAACATCTGTAACAATGTCTTGTTTTTGACATGTAATACACTGAGCAAACATCATTGTCATACAACGATGGCTCTATTGTCAAGTATGATTAGTCATAAACCAGACTGAGAATTCCCCCCTGTTGCAAAGTTGCACATTTGTCAGTGCTGTGAACATTTCTGTATGCACGCTTGACATCAGGCTCTAATCCAAAACACAGTGAATGTCATAAACCTTGAATTAAATGGGGTTTCTTTTAACGACAGGATATCGTCCAATGCAGTCTGACCCTTTCCTCGTGGCCAACCCATCTCTCCCCCCACCGCTGAGCGATCGAATGAGGAAGAGAAGGGCCTTTGCTGACAAGGAGCTGGAAACCGTCATGCTGGAGCGGGAGTACAAAGAACGAGAGCTGATGGAGAACAGCCAGGCGGCCACGGCCTCACTCATCTTCCCTAACAGCATGGTCCACCACGCTGCTGAGTACAGCTCCTACAAGACAGCCTACCCACCAGCAGCTCAGGTCGAGCCGCAGCCCAAAGAGCTGTGCAACTTCCTCGGCCCTAACCACATGGATCTGTCCATGCAGTACCCCAGCAGCTCAGCCAACGTTGAGCTCATCTCCTCTAACGTCAGCGTGGCCACCACGTACCGCCATTACCCGGTGCAGCCTCCACGAGGCAGCTTCATGATGTGGCCCTGTGGTGCAGCCAACCTGGGTGACGCCCTGCTCTATCAGCAGTGCCTGTTCAATGCCACGGCAGTGCAGAACCTGAAGCCAGGTGCTGTATGGGAGCCCAAGGTGATGCCTGCTGAGAGCCAACTGCCAGAGCAGGAGGATGCAGCCGCTCTTGCCGCTAAGCTGGAAGGATCCCGAGCTGCTGGACTGCAGGATTCATCAGATCCTGACCGTGCTGATCCCAAACCCCCGGCTGTCATCCATAGAGGGCAGAGGGAGTGCTCAGCCTTCTCCCCCCCTAAGAGGAGCTTCGGACAATCCTTCCCCAACAACTCTCATTCTGAAAACTCCAGTCAAGTCTTAAACAAGCTGAGCAAGGACAGTGCTAAGCTTTCCATGAAACTCAACTCCTTTCACTCCCTCATCCAGCACTCACTGAGTGAAAAACCCGGCAGCAGGGCCGGGCCGGAGCTCAGGGCTCCTTACTGCAAAGAGCTCATAGAGGAGGCCACCCGCAAATTCAGGGAGGGCTCCACCAAGGACATTCAGCCTGTAAAACTCACTGACAGGTACGGCAGGGATTTTCTGTCCAAGCCTGTGGGGACCAAGATGGCATCCAGTGAGTCTTTGTCCTTTTCTGTAGAATCCATACTGAAAAGACCCACACCTGCTATGAGTCAAGCATTCCATTAACTTCCATTAAGTGTCTTTTCTTGCACTATAAACAACAGGTTTGTCTCAGCAGGAGAGCATTTCAAGTTGTGGTTTTGGGGTCACATCTTAAACACACAGGCACTGCACCAGCTAGAAATGATTTTTTTCCCAGTGTAATATTTATGTACAGTATATTATATTTTACATGTGCATGTTCAATAGCTTTATTGTGTAGAGTATTTAAACATTATCCCAATGTTTTCCTCATCTCAATAAACTTTATGAGACTGAACTCTCTCCATAAAAAGTCTTGTATTTAATCTTATGCCCAGGTTATGAACTGTGAACTTTAAATGTGAGCTGGTTTTTTGTTTAGGTCAGAGGTTAGTCTGCACCGACTAATAAAACACTGTGGTTGTATGTCTGTAGCAAAAACAGTCAAAACCATAGGCGGAAGAAGAAGAAATAAGTGTGGCACAAATGTTGAGGAGAGTTTTTCTTGTTTAAAATGTTTATATTTTAATCATTAATTAATAAAAGCAAGTCTGACTTACTTTAAAATCTCCTTTAGGTTTTAAAAAATGTAAAGGTTTCAAAAATGTTATACATAGTAAAATTTATAAAAATAAATGCAGGGCATGTTTGGAAAAGTTATTACAGACTTAAATATCAAGATAAATTCTTTAACAGGATACAGTGGACCAGGATGAAATTCTACAATCATTATACATGGCGTATTAAAAAAAGTAAAATTATGTGATAACAACAGACCATGCTTAATGACACATTCAGGCCAAATAGTTTAGCTATTTCATATTAATTTGGAGCTCAGTTTATTGTGACTTAATGTTTAAACCCAACATTTTAAAAACAAATCTAGTGAAAGTTTTTATTCTTTAATCTCATGTCAGTCTTTGCAATATACTGGGACATTAAGTGGCAGTATCTTGATAATGTAAATGTCACAGGAAATATTTAAGTTTCTGTAACAAAAGAACCTAAATCTGTAAACTCAGAATCACTAAAAGTCATTTAAGAAATTTCACATTATTTTGTATATTTGAATAAACAGACATGATATGAACGAGGTGCGGATGTAGACAAAAGTGCTCCTCATGGGTTGAAACATGATATCAGCTCATAAATCAGTGAGCAGCATCAGCTCATTCGTTCAAGATGCATTTCTCCACTCATTCCTTTCCAGTTACGGACTATCAGTACAGTGTGTGTTATACTATGTCTTTGAATATATATATATATATGTGTGTGTGTGTGTGTGTGTGTGTGTGTGTGTGTGTTTGTGTGTGTGTGTCCATGCTGAAAGGTTGCTCCAGACATGGGTTTCACATGAGCTTCAGAACACTGACCCGTGCAATAATGAATAAGACCAAAGGTTAAAAAACGTCACTAATCTCTTCTTTCTGGCACAAATGTTCACATTTCATCTGTGTGAATCTGCAGCCAAACCACTCTACTCACTGACTAAAGCTTTGTTTTCCTCTCATATTGCTTTTTTCTTATTCACTCTTGAGCATAGAGAAATCTCATGCCAGGAGGAGAATGTACATGTGCGGCTGTATCCGAAGGTCCTATTGTCGCTGCTGTAACTGGACTTGTGCTGGTGATTAGAGTTTGTATGGCCAGAAAAAGATGACATCACTTTAAGTGGCCACTCAAATAATATTTCATCTGCGTGTATAAGCACGTTTCAGTATCTTTGTGAGGAATAATTTCAGTTTTAAACCATAGTGAGAATTTTTGCGTGGGTCCTCACTGTTTGAGGGTTAAGGCTTGGTTTTAAGGTTAAGGTTAGAATGAGGTTTTGGTTCATGATACGGTTTGAGTTGGGTTGTTGTGATGGTTAGGGGCAAGATAACAAGGATAAAGTAATCAGATTCTCTACTTGGCCTAAATAAAAGTAGCAATACTACCATCCATTCAAGATGCATTTCTCCACTCATTCCTGTCCAGTTACGGACTCTTGGTACAGTGTGTGTTATACTATGTCTTTGAATATATATATATATATGTGTGTGTGTGTGTGTGTGTGTGTGTGTGTGTGTGTGTTTGTGTGTGTGTGTCCATGCTGAAAGGTTGCTCCAGACATGGGTTTCACATGAGCTTCAGAACACTGACCCGTGCAATAATGAATAAGACCAAAGGTTAAAAAACGTCACTAATCTCTTCTTTCTGGCACAAATGTTCACATTTCATCTGTGTGAATCTGTTTTTAAAGTAGAGTCCTACATAGATAGACTTCAGACATGACTAGCAACTCGTACCTGAGGCAGCCTAGACTCGGACTTGTGAATAACAAATCAACTGCAGAAGACTTTCAACATTTAGAAGAAAGTTTAGGTTTTACGATCCTCTGCGATCATTTAACGCATCACAGCGCGCGCCTCGTTAATACAGATGTGACGTGTGCAAACGCAACACCTACAAGCTGTGCTAATTAGGTTGCTGACGGGATTGACACAAGGTGTTGTAGAATTTGGGTATACGGATTCCAAAGCTCATGGGCTCAAGAGAAAACCATCCTCCTGTAAAGAATGTGGGGGAAAAGATAAAAGACAACTGGTTGACCATGGCGTCCATCTGGGAAGCTCACCCAGAAAGGTCAGCGTCGCAGTTAGCCTGTTAAAGCTAACCCGGAATTAGCATAGCGTCACGTTAACGTCACTGTTGTTGTAATGTCAGGTGTGTGGGCTCGTGTCGGAACGAGGCTCCTTCTGTTTGTAGCCACACAGACTTGTGGTTCATTGTAGCTGCACTCAATTTGGCCGCTCGTCAGCATCAAAACCTGCCATAATACACAAGAGTGTTGTTTTTACACTTAGTTTTCTGTGTAGATTGAGGAAACTAAATATAACCACGGACGGATTGTGACACAATGAGGCCCAGGGCAGAGACATTAAGAAGGCTCCCCACTTCTAACATAGAAACAAGACACTCAGCCTGAAAGAGACATGGTTTCTTTGTCTTCGTGATTATTTTGCATGCTTTAAAAGATGTTTTGCATCTCTTTGCGGTTGCTTAGCATCTCTTGGTGGATGTGTTGTTTCTCTTTGTGGGCATTTTGATTTTGATTTTTGATTGATTTGATTTGATTTATTCATTCAAGCATGCAAAACAGTTGATATGTCAACACATGTAATTTCACACATATCCAACAATAATAATCCAATATCAATTTACTTATACCTAGTACATGCTTGAACGGAGCAGGAAGAAGTCAGACTTAACTTATCTAGTCCTACCCCATGACATCATCTTACAACTTTTAAGTCCTAAGCAATATCTCTACATAAATAATTCTCTTCTGCACCACACAAGTAATATACTACAGAATTATTACAGAGTGTTAACATTCTACATAATTACATTCATAGATAATTATCTTCTACGCCACACAAGTAATATACTAAAGAATTATTAGAGTGCTAACATTCTTACCCCACACCCACAATGTTCCATCTGATTAATCATTAAACCTGTTCTTGCATATATCTTGATTGACACATACCTTTATACTTATGTTTAAACTCATCAATTCTAGTACTATTTTTTATGTCCACATTTAAATTATTCCATAGTTTTACACCACTTATGGAAATACAGAATCTTTTTGGTTGTACGTATAGCATGAATTTTTAAGTTTAACTGACCCCTTAAATTATATAGTATAACAAATTTTGCATCTCTTTGTGGTTGCTGTGTGTCTCATATTGGCCATTTTTTTTTGTCACTTTGTGGGATATTTTGCAGGTGAGCTCCTGGGGCCCTGTGAAATCTCAGTTTTGTACCCCATAGGCCTGGTCAGTAATCCTTCCGTGGAGATAATTCATGAGTTTTGGAGGCGCTGGTAAGGCAGATGCTAGTATGCTAACAACAACAAAACTCAGACAAAGTTAGTAGGTGGACTGTGGATTCATTTGTTTGTCAGATCTTATATGATTGTGACCATCATTTTATGTCACTGGGCTTAGGTTTACATTTGTGCATTTATTTTACATGCTACTGTTTACAGTGATGCTATATTAAGATTATGTTTAGGGGGATTTTACATGGTTTAAGTTACAAATTTTACACTAAAGAATAGTGTTTTATGGGAGGGACGCAACACTTTCTTGGCTAGAATGAGTAACTGGTCTCTGTATGGGTTAAAGTGATGATGCATGTTCATTAGTGAGCTTTAGAAGTGCTGCTTGGTTGATTTTATACCTTTGGATGCATCTAAGCTAAGTGTTTGTATCTTGTTTCTACTTTTTATGCTAAGATAAGAGAACCATCTGGTGGCCGTAGCTTTGTATTTATTACTTCATCTTTAGTCTTTCTCTCTTTAGCTACTGTACAGGTCAGTAGTATCTTCTTGTGTATCAAGAAAATATAAAACAATTTTCTCCTCCTCCTTTTTATACACTTTTGTGTAAAGATAATTTCTGCTAAAGGTAATTTATTTACACATTTTGCCAAAAAAATGAGAGAGTCAGCTTACGAGTGATAATGGCTGATCAACTTCATTCGCTGTTGGAGGCTGATGCAAAGGATGAGAATATAATCTAGTAAAATTTAAGATTTGTATTTATTTTTTTAAGTGAAATGGTATATGTTGTTTATGACCTCCAATTTGTGACACCTGTTTTGGGTTTCATGTGTTTAGCTTGTACTGCATGTACATAGACACATTTTAAAATGATTTTTGGGCATTTTGCCATTGTTTACAGGAGAGAGTGACAAGAACGGCATGATAGGTATTACATGTCATCGGTATCTGGGCTAGATTCAAACAAAGGATGTTTTGGTTAGACTTGTATGATACAGTATATGTAAAGACCCACCTTATCCTTTTAAATCCCACTCACCCACGACTTGGATGCTTGGCACAAACTCGTACTAAGCAGCCAAACACCGTTCAAACTCGCTGCACTTTAAATTCTAATGGAGATCCCAGAGTTTCCCATGATACTAAATAAGTCGAGCTGAATTTTGGAAAAATGTGTCTAGATGATACACAACACATCTAGAATTTTGGATAAAAAAGCACAGCCACTTGTTTGAATGTCAGACAGTGAAGAATCAGATAATTTCGCACTTATTTATTATCCATGTGATTATTATCTTTATGATGAGCTTAAAGGGGAAAGAGGGAATTACAATTGACACCCTCTCCACAAGTTAGTACTGTGGCAATAATTCCTTTTTTCCCCTTAACTCTGTCAAAACCCGATATAATAAGAGCACAAGGAAGACATTGTTTAGTCTATGATTTAAGAGAGAGTGTGTGTATACATGAATACATCTCATTGTGTGTGTGTGTGTGTGTGTGTGTGTGTGCATGCACAGCCGCCCCGACAGCAGTTGGCTGCTGAGCAGGAGGTGACAGTGTTTGTCTGCACTAACCACCACTGATAAGTATCTGCTGAAGTCCTTATGGCCTCAAGTGTGAGATTTAACATGTCAGCAGAGTGAACTGGATTGTTGACTCATCCCCCTCTTCCACTCACCGTCCTCTTATCAGCACTTAGCATTTTTTTTGGGGTACGCAGGTGTCGTTTGCCATTTAGAGACTTCATTGACTTTCCTTCATGCTGTGATGTGGGGAAAAGAAAAACAGGGACACCCAATGTGGTCTGGGAATTTCATGTTTTGTAGCTCTTGTTTCAAGACTCACAAAGACAACAGAACATAGGTCACAGGGTCTTCCTGTTGTTGCACAGGCAGACTAATGTGTTTAATGTCATGAAGGTGCACTTAAAAGGACCATACCAGTGATTTTGTTTTTCTTCACGTTTCATCCCATTCACAGTGTGTACAGTGTTCTAGCTGCTCTGTAGACCTGTCTGACAGCTTGGTGGAAAAACTGAAAAACACACTTTAATCAGTAAAAGGTTTTTACTCATAGATTTCTATAGTGCACGAGTGTCTGGCCACTACCAAGTGGTTTGTTTGGACTGCATGACTACATGCTCATCTTGCAGTTGCCAGTGCTTTTTGCTCTGCAAATGTTTTGCACAGCAGCTTATTTATGACAGAGATATCAAGTTATGATTGTGTCTTCAGCTTTTTCAGACTTTCATTGTGTTTTAATGAGCTGTGGCTCACGAGGTAGGGCAAGTCGTCTTCTGACCAGCAAGTTGGTGGTTCGACTCCCGGTCTCCCCACATGCCTAAGTGTCCCTGAGCAAGACACTGAACCCCAAATTGCTCCCGGTGGCTTGACTAGCGCCGATGTGTGGCAGCCTTGTCGTCATCGGTGTGTGGGTGAATGGTGTATAATCTCCCTGTAATGCGCTTTGGCCAGTGCATAAAAGCGCTATATAAATACAGTCCATTTACCATTTACAGTCCAACTAACATGCTCTGAATCTCAGCTGAGCTGAAAACTGCTCTCCGTCACCCTCAGTGGAGCGCCACTGCTAAAAGCTAGTTATTTCTTCAGTGATGATACAGTGAGTCGATATGGTCAGTTTCTGTTGGAAGAGATTTGTTTGTGCATGTACTGTACACAATCACTAACCTGCTGAAGTAAGATGGTGAGCATGGTAAATCTCACCACCACTGCCTGTTAGCATTTAGCTCAATGCACTGCTGTTCCTTAGTACAACCCCAGTGCTACTGGCACACCTGTAGACTGCCTGTGTGCAGAGACGGGCTTGAGGAATGGTTCAGTAGGCATTCATATGGTTGAAACTAAATTCCAGCTAAATAAAAATGGTGTGTTCAGCGAGTAAGAAGTATGGACTCCCCCTGCAACGATACAACTGCTCCATTCTTCTCCTGCCCTTCTGCCCATATAGCATTTGGCTGCCCTACCAGTGACTGTGTGGTTGGTTTATTGTGTTCTCACCAAGTTGTCTCGACCCCCAACACACTCACACTCACCCACACTCATGAACCCTTTTCCAGGTGCTGAAGCAAGCTTTTCTACCCACTGTTGTTGTCGTCACGCCAGTAACTCCCAGCCCATCTGATATGCTACAGTCTTTTTCACATTAAGAATCTATTAAGCACCACAAACTCAAACACACACACACTGAGTTATTTTGACTCTAGGAATAAATGGCACATGCTGTGTTTTACATTGGTGATCAGCGGGCGTGAAGGAAAGGGTAGGCTTTCTATTCATTTTCGCTTGTGTTGTTTCTCTCCGTCTCTACCAGCAGCATGGAGGGGAACACTGGACAGTTCCTGCATTCTTTCTCAGCACCTTGTAATCCAATAAGAAATGTGTAGCACTGCAGCTTTTGACAAGTAGCTCCCACTTAATTACCATGTTGTTGGGGCTGACAGGCCTGGGGGCCGATAGGGGCAAAATGCTGTTGGATCCTTGCTGAAAGACAGCTGGGAATATCCTGAGAGATGATACATTCACACTGGAGTTTGTTGTGTTTCTTGGTTATGCTGAGGAGACAGAAAATGATCTCGTCCGTTTAGTTTAACCCTAATGACCTATGTTTTCTGTTGCAAAAGTCAGCTAGCTTCCAAATCTGAAAGATAACAGCAGGGTACAGTTGTGTTTTTTGGGTGGGAATATTTGCGTGGAGTTTCCACATAATCTGACTGAGCTAGATACTGTTGACGTTTTGCTACAAGTGGCAGTGCTGCAGCAAGACAATG